GGGAAGGACCACTCTAGAAGGAAAGAGCCTTTGCACCTAGAAGGTGTTGAGGACCAACATCACCCTGCCCATGAGCCAGCAGGAGGGAGGGAGTGGAGCTGGGCAACAGCCCCCAGCCCCCCCAAACTGTCCCCCAAACTCAACACCGAGGTTCATTTTAGTTGCAACTCTCTCTCTCTCCAGGTGGTAGAGGCTTATAAGCAAGGTCTGAGACCAGCCGTTGGCTATGAGCTCAACCCCTGGCTGCTGTGTCTCTCCAACTACCGGGCCTGGAAGGCTGGGTACCATGGGAAGGTTTCCTTCCTGAAGAAAGATCTGTGGAAGGTAACAGCGTTCCGAGGGTCTGGCTGTAGCTAGGGCAGGGCCAGGGCTTGGTCTGTGTCTCCAGAGGGCCTTTGCTTGATGGTTGCTCCTTCCCTGACCCACGCTGCTCCCATGAGATGGAGAAACCATCCTCCTTTCCAGGGGAACACCAGCAGCAGCTTTGAAAAGAGGTCTTAGGTGCTGCTGACACAGGGTGGCCATCGTAAATGTCCTCCTAAAGTCGGCATCAGGTACCCGCAGCCTGGCCGGAGAAAAGCCAGCAGGGAACATGGTTCTGTGACAGTGCTGGAGGCAGGTGTTTTGCAAGAGGTGCTGCTTTCACACCAACACATCGCCATCCCGCACGTTGTGGGACATCTTTGCTTCCTCCGAGGTTCAGAAGATGGCCCGCCAAGTGTTCGGCCACTGGAACGGTTCCCCCTGCTGCTCCCCCTCTCCCTGTTGCTTCTTTCATTTCCCTTTTCCTTCTCTTTCAAGGTGAATCTTTCCGATTGCTCCAATGTGATCGTGTTCCTGGCCCCCAGCGTGGTAAGTCGGTCTCTGGCACCCCAACTTGTTCTGAGCAAGGTTGAGGGAGGGTTTTCTTAGAAAAGAGAGCGACAAAGATGAGACCAGAGGTAAAGACAGTCCCAGAGATGCTCATGCTGGAATAGAAAGCCAAACGGGCGTGTGGTTTCCAAGTGACGCAGCCTGTGCCCATTGCAGCTGACGGATGTCACGCTGTCTTGATGTCTTCCACACCTCTTCCTGAGGGACGAGCACCATCCCCATGTCCCTCACCGGGCCTGTTACAGTCCATGTTCCACCATCGGTCTTGGTGAGGCAGAGCAAGGTGTCTTGCAGTGGTCTGAGCAGTTTGGAGCTCAGCACCACTCAGATGTGTTCCCAGTGCCCACCATACACAGGGCTAGTACCAGCCCTGCATTTTGGAAGGGTCTTTGGTTGATGCTGCCTATTTGGGACCCACCAGCCATGCCGAGAAGCTGCCCTCTGGTCCCTGGTGGCACTGCCACTACGTGATTGTCTCCTCAGGCCGCCTGGCCCTGGCTCTCTCTCTCTCCCCAGAAACCTCCCCTGGCTGCCAAGCTCCTTGCAGAACTCCCCGACGAAGCCCGGGTGGTGGCTGGACGCTTCCCCTTCCCCTCCTGGACCCCCACCAGCACCCTCGGGCAAGGCCTGGAGCAAGTCTGGGCCTATGACATGAAGGAGGTGCGGCGAGCGGCGCAGAGCAGCGCAGAGGGAAGCCCGGTCTAACGGCAGCCTCGTTAAGCTTGGCATTAAGGGTTGGTAGTGGTCAGAGCCTCTCCAGCCGCTGGGCTCAGCTCAGGACAGCAGTGAGAGGGATACTTGGCCAGGCTTTTTTTTTTTCAGGGTGGCTGTCCCTCCTCATCTTCCAAAGAGCAGGCAATTTGGGGGAAGCGAGGGAGGGGAAAACCAGATCTAGAAATGCTGGAATTATTGCAGGATTTAAGGGCTAAGTGTCCAGTGCCTCTTTTAATTTTTCAAAATAAACATTTGGATGGTTCTTCCCTTGAGCCTTGTGCTTGGCCTTCGAGCTGCGGGGTGCTCCTGGAGCCAGAGCAGCCACTGCTCCCAGCCTCAGGTTTTGCTCCACCGTCTTTTGAAGGCAGCTCGGGAGGGAGTTTGTCCAGCTCACCTTCTGCTGAGGGAGCAGTTTGGCCTTGCGCACCTTCTGTAACATTCCCTTTTCCACTCAGAGGGGAAAAAAGGTTTTCCCACCATAAAAGAGCAGGTCATCCCCTTTGTCTATCCTCTTAGACCAAAGCCGAGCTTGAACCAGCCCTGCCCTTATCTCTTAGAAGCGGAGAGGGGAGCAAAGGCAAGAGCGGAGTTGGCCCTTGGGCTCCGGTCTAGGTCTGACCCAGGAGAAACGTTACAGCAGCATCCTAGGAGGCAGGAATGGGAACCTCTCCCTGCAGCCCCACAGTAAAAAGCTGCCTGGGAGCCTGACCCCGTGTCCCGAGCTGTGATGTGCTCAGGAAAAGCAGAATTCCTACAGCTGAGGGGTCAGGATAGACAAGACGCAGTTGTCTCATCCCATTTTAGTACTGTTAATTTGAGACCGAGAACACCCACGTGGTTTCCCTCGCTGTGCCTCACAGCTCTCAGCCAGGGAAGGATACTTGCCCCAGCCAGCCCACGCCACAGAAAAGCTCCTTCTTTTTAAATCCCGCTCTTTCCTATCGTCGTGCCGCTTCTCGGAGCTGTGGGGCAGAGCTACGGTTGGTGGCTGACTGTCCTTCTGGCTCTGGGCAGCGAGAGAGTATCGGCCGCCCCAGCGCTGGGTGCACGCAGCACCTCGCTGCCGGCGAGCTTCCTCAGCTGGAGGATCTCCTGCTTGTACCTGCAACAGGGAGGCAGCACCATTGTTGGCCGCGTGGTCACAACCCCGCTGACGGCTCGCACACGGGAGCGATGAATTTAAATGTACGCTTTGCCTTGTGTTTGCTGCATGCTCAGGACACGCAGCGTCAGTTAACGCAGAGCAGCCAGCCCGGGCACGGAGCCACGCCGGGAGCTGAGCCCCGGCAGATAGAAAACCACAGCCTTTTCCCGAGGAAGAGGGGTCTGTCGGCTCTGCCAGGTAAGGATACCAGCAACAAAAGCCTGCGAGACTTCACGGCCGAGCTGGCTGGGGAGTTACAGCAGGCGCAGCTGGACCATTGCTCCGACAGACCTTCTCGCCCTTCTTTGCCCGAGCATCTGCTTCAGGGTTTGATGTGCCAAGGCAGAGAGGACCACAGATCTGGAAGGCTTTAGATTTTAGGCAAGCCCTCTTTTAGCTTCCCTCAAAGGATGGGCGAGCACACAGGGAAGAATATGTGCAGCTGGGCAGGCCAGATGCTCCCCCACTGTTCTGCCCATGGAACAAGGGATGGTGGCAGCTGCCTACACAGCTGGACGTGCTGCAGGACATCAGCCATGCCGGCAGCGCTGTGGGAAGGCAGTGGCGAGGTCAGGCGCCGACAGCGTGGCAGGCATGGCGATGTCACCGGCAATTAGCCTGGGAGATAAACTTGGAGCCCAAAGCAGGGAAACTGTGAAGGGGGATGCTACCATCTCACCTCGCAAGATGCTTATCTATGTATTCCTGCAGCTCCGACACCTGCTCTTCTGCCACGATTGCCCGAGTCAGCAGCTGGCTCCTCTCCTGCTCCAAATCCTCCTGGAGAGGCAAGGAAACACGGAGAAAACAGCGAGCTCTGTGAGACAGGAGTGAAGTTGCTTGGTCCCTCTGCCGGGCGAGATCCTCTGCTTGGCGTTAGGCTACAGAAGCAACTGAAAACTGATGCGCTGGGGGAACGGAGCCCAGCGATGACTGCACAGCTTTCTGTGGGCACCACCGTGCCAGGGCATCGGCCGGGTGGACCAGGCAGCCTTCCCTGACCAGGGCCACCCCAGGACAGGCAGCAGCCCCTGCCTGCCGAGCCATCATTAACTCCCCCAGCAGCTTCACAGGCAACTGGCGGAGCAGTCGCTAGATTTGGCACTCGGACGCAGACAGCTTTCACATCTGTCCACTGGTAGTTTGGTACAAAGGGAAATGATCTTCCCTTTTAGATAAAAACCCAACCATTTGTTTTTTGCACAGTGTCTCTGGGCAGTAGATCATCACCTTACCCAATTAGCTGCACATCCCTGTGTCACCAGGAGGATCTGAGGTGCTTCACTGAGCTCACCCCCCTGAGATGCACAGCAGAGCCAGGAGCAGGATCTGCTCCCAGCACTGCGCTCCAGCAGCTTGGCCACGGTATCTCCCTTCTTTTGGCCACGGAGATACACACAATTTAGGGGTTTAGCTTTACGTGACCACAGAATGGCAGAGCACTTCCTCAGGTCACCGTGGACAGAGGAAGGCATGATATAGAAACAGGCTGGTGGGACATCTATAGCCTTGTCTACCACAGAAAATAACCTCTGCTTCATTTCCAAAGCCCTTTCCGCGCCTGTGGCGGTCAGGGATCCCAGCACCAGTCCTTCTCCCCACTGCTGCCATCACTGTGGCCAGCAAACCCCACCTCAGCCAAGGCCACTCCCAGCGAGCAGCACCACGGTTTCATGGGTGCTGGAGGGCAGCGTTGGGGATGGAGAGCACTCTCCTCCCCGCTCAGGGCCATCCCATTCCTGAGTGCAGCACAAGTATCCTTGCACCCAGGGGGAACCAGACTGGGAAGGTGATTCAGATTCCAGTTAGACTTGAATCAGGTCAAATCTAGTTCCAGCTTGTTATACAGATGCCTAAATGCTTGTGCTGAAGCCAGGGAGGGAGCAATACAGTCCAGCAATGAGCAGCCATAAGGGCTGCTCTCCTCCTTTTAGTAGCAGGGGAGTACAGCCGTGGCACGGCCGGGGACCTGCTGGCATCACTTGGTGGGCTGAGGCCAAAGCCACTCAGGGCTCCGTGGAAAGCTTCCCTGCTCCCAGCTGGGGCAGCACATCTTTGACGTGTGGGTGAGGGTTAAGGTTTTGTTCAGATGGGCTGTTCTAGAGCTCTACCTGGGTGGTGCGTGTGAACTCCCGGAGCTGCTTCCTGACCTCTGCCCAGCCCTCCTTATCCAGCTGCCTAGGAGAGAAAAGCAGAATTTGATCATGAACAGACCTTCAAATCCAACCCATCCGCAGGTCGCACAGCTCTGTTCAGAGGCCGGACAAAACTCGTGTCCATCAACGCATAAACCCCAGCGCTCTGAACCTTTTCTCTCCCGCTGCCCCAAACTTCAGGGCACGCCGTGCCACCCCTGTGCCCGGGCACGAGAGTCACAGCCCTTCTGCCAACCTGGGATTCCCCGCTGCCACGGCTGGATTTCTTCCAAGTTCACATCAACACTCATACATCAGAGGACTCCGTGCAGAAAGAGTCCTTAACCTGACACTGCAGGACTGAATTTGATGGAAATCGAGAGCGAGCGATGCCAAACGCTGGTGCTTTTCATGTTTGAGCACAAACCCGCCCGTTCTGGTCGCTGAGCGCAATAGGTGAGCTGTCTGTGCAGCCCAGCCGTGGGAAAGTTCTTCCTAGTCTGTCCCAGTCTGAATAAGCAAAATACAGGTCACATCTGATGCTCGGGGAATTTGGGTTGTATGAAGGGAGGAATGCATTGTGCTCCAAGAGCTGCTCCGCTGCGGCTGCCAGAGTTCCCTCTGGTGGATGCAGCCTCCAGGCCCAGGCACAGGGGAAATTACGGCTGAGATTTCACGGGAGCAGAAGCGAACAATAAACACTGAAGCCACACGGCTGGTAAAGACAAGAAGCAGCAGGAGATAGAGCCGAAGTGCTGCAGGAACACCAGGCTTCGTGTCTCTAGCTAGAGGAATGAGGTAATGGCATGGGTAAGACCCATCAGCAGACAGAAAACAAGTGTTTGAAGTGTGTAGAGTCTCTTGGCAGCTATAAAAACCTTAACAACAAGATGCATCACTAAAATGCAGGTTCTGGTACTTCTCTGACTCGCTCCTGTGGCAAGTCTGCCAAAATTAATGCATCTGTTCAAGGACTACTACTGTTTTTCAGTGTGGAGAACATGGCAGAGCCTGGTTAAGGCTCAAGCTCTTCTCCAGGACGCTCCTCCAGACCCCGGTGGCTCAGGCACTGACCGATTCCGCAGTGCTGGCATCCAGTTAACGAAATACCTGACGTCTTTTCTAGGCTATCACATTTTAAAAGGCTGAAAAATCCCAGCTCAGATTTCTCCTGTGCTTTGTTCCACCTCTCCACAGCTGTAGTTGATAGAGTTTCAACAGAATAACGGAGCAGGGGGAAGAGACCCATCAAAATGAGCAAATAAAGGGCATGTCAGGAAGCCAGGGTACATCACAATCAGTACAGGGTCACCTAAGGGTTTCAGCCCAGCTTCTGCACTGGGAGGGAGGAGAAACAAGACCATCCCAAACTGGTGGTGTTTCACTTGCTTTTCTCAGGTTGTGATCCACCAAAGCGCTTGGGCATATGCTTAACTTCAGCTTCTAAGGAGATCAGTGAGACTAAAAACATGATTAAATCAAACATGTACTTAAGAGCTTTCTTGGATCAAGGCCCAAATGACCAACTCATTTCACCGCAGGACACGCTGGGTGGAGAAGACAGCTAGCTTTTCTTCTCAGATGAGTCCCTATCAGCTCGCCTTCTCCCTATTTATTATCATCTCCAAGCAAAGCAAGAAAAGACTCCTCAATCCACACAGCAAGGAGACTTCAGAATTACAAATATCCCAAGAAACAAACACCACTTACTGCTCAGCAGACAGAGGAACACCAGAGATTTCTTCCAGTCTTTTCTGAAGACAAAGGAAGAACAGTATTCCTGTAAGCATTAAACCATTGCAATCTCACCACAGTCCCTAGCACTCCAACAGCCACCAGTGCCCCGGCAAGGAAGTGATGTGCAGCACAACCTTAAGGTTTAGGTCCCCCATCCTCTGAATTTTTAAATAAATATATCTCACGCGAATCAAGAGACATGTCTCTGCCCGGGCAGAAGCAGTGGGAGGATGTGGAGCTGGCTGTGGTCTCCTGCCCAGTTAGCTATTCACACCGAGGCAAAGCAAGCCCCATCCTGTTGTCCCTTACCTCTTCTTTTAGTAGCGAGTGATTCTGCTGGCCTGGCAGCTCTTCCGTAACATCTGCTACTCCTCAGCCCTTCCCAGAGCTCGCTGACCCCAGTCTATGGGGCTGCCCAGCCTCCTGGGTCTAACTGTAACTCGCCCCTACGCAGCAGGCTTGAAGCAACGAGGGAGCTGCCTGGGCATCCCGTCTCTTCCCAAAATGCGAGCGAGCGCTACCCTGCCTGTGCCACAGGCACAGCAAACCCTCAGGGAATACCCAAGGAAGGGGCTGAATCTATCGCTTGCAAGACTCTCCCCACTGCCCCCCAGTTTCACCCCCACAGAAAGCCAGCAGCCCAGCCACCACCACCTGCAATTCACATAGCTGCGTCTCCAGTTTTGCTTTGCCCTCTCGCAGCCGGTTTAGCTCCCGGGTTGTGTTTGTCAGCAGCTCTGGGTCTGTGATGGAAAAGTGGAGCTCGGCAGGGCCACAATCTGCATCACTGCTGCCCAAGGACCGGATCTGCTCTCGCTGGAGCCTGTAACGTGCCGGAGGGGTTAGTCCCTGGTAGCTTTGGTCAGGTAACACCACTAAGTGCTGCTGATGGTTTGCTTGGGACCTGTTGGCTTCTGGCCACCGAGAGCCAGTCCACCTGCAGAGGATAAGTGGGAGAGCCCAGCCCTATGCACAATATTCCTGGGAGTGTTTCTGAGGGGAGCTTGTCCTAGAGATACTTGTGGCTTTTATGCTACAAGAATTTCTGCTGCTTCCCACAGCCCAAGCTGCCGAGAGCCTGTGGAGCAGGGCTGAGAGCACTGCAGAGACAGACTGAGAGGCAGCAGTTATTTGTGGTACCTTTGCATTTCCACACCATCCAATGTGGAATCAATCCTTCACCCTGAATTTTACACAGGAGAAACGTATACACAAAGCAGCTCCAGGGCATCCAGAGCACCCCAACATGTAGCTGGAGACACCCTGCTCCTGGCTTGTCTGGAGGAGGGAGATAAACATGCGCTCCACATCCTCTGCTTCACCTGGGAGGCCTGTTTGCCACCCTCTCAGGCAAGAGGCTGGGTGCTGTGGGGCACTTCCACTTGGTCCTCAGCAATAAGCTGAGGAGAGAGAGTTAGCCCAGACCCTGGGCTAAGCCAGCACCTAAGCCCAGGCTTAGCCCTACCCGTAAGCAATCAGCAGGTTCTCATGCTTCTTGACCAAGTTCTTCATGCGTTTCTTGTAGCCACGTGCCGCTCCAGCTAGCTGCTCTTCCCGAGACTTGTAGGAAGCCCTGATATCCTTCAGCATGCTGTCCACAAAGCGCTTCATGTGAGCACAATCAGCTGGGGCTTTGCTAGACTCTGTTAAGTTGCTGGATTTGCTGTCCATGTAGTCCTTTAAACACACAGAGAAAGAAATTGAGGTGATCAAGTCATTCCCTAAGGCATGTAACCCATTTCCCGCAGAGAAGGTCTAGGCATATTTGTGCTAACAGCACAGCGAATAGGGAATATCTTCCATTCTCTAGGAGCAGGAAAGACTAATTAACTTTTCGTCATGCCCCTTAAAGACAGAGAAGGCATCTGTACAGTATCAGCTACCCACCTAGGGAAACACGAGTTGGCGTCAGGAATTACCATCTCTAGTCCCATATTCTTTCCACTGCTCCCCGCTCTCTCTGCTAACTAGGAGATGCTTCAACATCGCTCTGTTAGAAATCAAACTATTCTTAATGGTAAAAATTGCTTTGCTTAGTCTCCTGACCCTCACCATGCTCCAGGGGCCCTACTCTACATCAAAGGTGCTTGTTCCCAGGGCAGGTCCCAGGCACGGGCGTTACAGGGCTGGCAGAGCTCCCTGCAGGGACAGCAGCCGAGTCACCAGGGAGGCGGCGACAGAGCCAGAAGCGGCATTGCCGGGCCTGCCGAGGGAAGTTGTCAGGGCAATGGGGAGTGGAAGCCAACTGGAAGGCAGCCACGGTAAATAAGAGGATCCTTCAATCCAAGTAAATCTGACCAAGAAAGAAAGTCCCAGCAGAAACTCACAGACTGTTTAGTGTGGCCATACAGGAAATCTGGGTGAGGAGGAAGGGGGCTGGCATCTCCTCCCCCCAGCCAAGCTGAGGGGGCAGAGCCCCCTTCCAGCTGCAAGCATGGCCCCCCAAGCCCCACGGCCTGCTCCGCTCCACACAGCCCAGCAAGGAGGGGAAACAGCAGCAGCCTGCAAGAAGTAGAGAGCCATCAAGGAGAGACCGGGTACCCACCGCCACATCCTTGATGTACTGGGTGAGCCGGGAGCGATATTCCTCATTCAGCTCCTTCAGCCGGAGCTGCAGCCGGGAGTTCTCTGCCTCCACCTCTTGGAGCTGGCTCTGGGAGGTGAGCAGCACCTAGGCATAGCAAACACACGGGCTGCTGCCCTCACCCTCTGGCCAAGCGAGGACACTAAGAAGCTCCGTCAGAGATGGGGGACAGATATTCGGCTTCAGTAGAGCTGGGAAGGTCCTGGGTTTTCACAGGAGCACACTGGAAATGTTTACAGTCTCTATTCCCCTGCTACCTTCTGTCATTTGCAATCCCCACCCCGGTGATTTCACCACCTCTTTCTAAATATCACTGAACAAAATTCCTCCCACCACCTGTGGCAAACGGCACCTTCCACCACGTGCATCACACCCCTGGAGAAGGAAACTGCGCAGGGAGGAGCACCTCGGTATGACAAACTCCCTGGAGAGGGAGACATATCGGAGTACAAGACATCCACCCCAGGATGGATAGCTCCAGGAGAAGCGCATGGCACCCATGAGGAGTGGATGAGCACGGGCAGTCCTGGGTGCTGAGGGCTGGAAGGGAGCCTGCCCTTACCGCTGACTGCTGCACCAGCTTGTGCTGGGTGTCCCCAATCGCGCCCTTCGCCTCCTGCAGCTCCTTCCCCATCGCGACCCTGGGCACACAGGAAGAAGGTGTGTTTATTTTACACTTCCCCCCGCCCGCCCCCAACTTCTCTGTAGGTCCAATACAGCCAGCTTGGAGAAGGAAATCACTACCGGATGACCGAAATCTCTCGGCAGCAGCTGCCAGCCCCCCTCGGCTAACGGCCTACCCTCTGCGGCCAAAGGCGAACGTCCTCCCCAGTCAGAGGGTCTAGTTCTCCGGCATCTGGGCTGTGGCAGCCTTCGCTGGGACACCGACCCCATCCCAGCCTGTCGATGGGAGAACTGCTGTGGGGGTAAGGACTATGGCTGGGCTCATCTCCGGGCTGTCACACATTTGCCATGTGCGGCACAGAAGGTGGATTTTCAGAGGTGTGTAGGGCAATTGGGTATCTAAACACCACCGACTTAAGCAGACAGCTAACCCTCTTAAGAGCCTTGAAAACATCAGGTTTTGCTTCCAGGCCTCACTTCTAAGGGTGAACCATCATTTCCCCCCCTGTACCCCACCAAAGGCAGGCTTCCTCCTCACCTGTTCCCAAGGACCAAATTCAGCGGCAACGAGCTCCACAAATGCCCAGCCAAACCAAAGGACGTGCCCTCAAACACTCACACTCTCTCTTCCAGCTTCTGCTGCTGCGAGTCGTAGGTTTTCTTCAGTTTTTCAAGCTCCATTTTTAGGTGATCCTGGTTTCCAAGCAACTGAGGGACAAACGAAGAAGAAGATGAGCCAGAGGGATTTGTGAACGGGGAAGAAGTGAGTAGAGCCTCCAGCCAAGCACAAGTCCAGCTGACCGGTGACACACTGGGGAAAGGACAGGTTTAACCGGGAAGGACCAGTGCTCTGTAGCACACCAGAAGCGGTGCGTGCTCTGGAGACAGGGCACATGGAACTGCACACATGTCACTCTCCCAAGGGAAATTCTCGTGCTGAGAGTCAGAATCCCAGCAGGAGCTGGTGGCGGAGCCCGAGATGGTATCGCACGGGCTGCAGGTGGGAAGGAAGCAGGGAACATCTCCATGCTCTCAGTTTTGGGTGCTTTATCACCCCCATCTTTCTCAAGTATCGGCAAGGAGAAAATCAGTAAGCGTCCTCTGCTCTTGCTGGCTATTAAACTCCTGCCTCTGCTCACCCAGGGCACTGACCCAGGGAACCACAACTGCTCTCTCCCAGCTTTTGCCTGCACAAGAGCTGGAGTTATTCTAGACTCATTTTCCAACTGCACAGCTTAAAAAAAAATTTAAAAAATCAAGGCATCAGCTCATCCACAAAATTCAAGTAAGCACCAGGAGGTGCCAGCCACAGTCAGAATAAACTCCCCCCCCCGTTTCCCCAGGGATCCAGCAGCAGACCCCCACACACTCACATTTCTCTCCAGCTTTTGCCGCTCGTGTTCAGAGGCAACTACATCTTCTGGCTGGTTTTGGTAAGAGACAGAAGAAGGCGCCTGTTAGATCCCTGCTCTCCAAGGAGCCGGTAACCGGGCAGAGAGGTCCTTACCTTCACCTTCCGAGTGGAGAGACAGCGCACCACCGCTCGCATTGGCCAGGTTGAGCAGCTCTAGGCTGAGCTCCTCAGTCTTCACAACCTGCCAGGTGAAACAAGAAGGAAAGAGTTTCTGAAATCCTGCCCCGCTGGCTCCTCACGTTGCCTGTTCAGCACGTGCCCGCTGCTCTTGGTGTGTACACAAGGCAGGCACTCACATCCCCTCCTGAAAGCAAGTTGTATTTTTAAATTCTCTCTCATATGTCCAGAAGTATCAGTGATTTTTTGATTCTCATGGAAATGCAGGGTAAGTATCATCGCCAGGCGTCGGGATTATTCATGTGTAACCCTAGTCTCTCTGCTCATCTCGCTCTCGCATCCACATACAGACCCCGGTGCCAGCCCAGCCCTGGACCCAGCTCTGCCACCACCTCTGCGTCCCGACCTCCAGCCTCCCCCCCTCACTCTAACCCTGTACCCTCCCACACTGCTTCATAGAATCATTAAGGTTAGAAAAGACCTTTGAGATCACCAAGTGCCACCATTAACCCAACACCATGTCCACTAAACCATGTCCTCAAGTGCCACATCTACACGTTTTTTGATCATCTCCAGTGATGGTGACTCCACAACCTCCCTGGGCAGCCTGTTCCAATGTTTGGCCACTCTCTCAGTAAAGAAATTTTTCCTAATATCCAATCTAAACCTCCCCTGGTGCGACTTGAGGCCATCCCCTCTCATCCTATCACTAGTTACTTGAGAGAAGAGACCAACACACTCCCCAGCGCTTCAGGCACGTCCTTCCCTGTACAACGGCTTCAGAACGGCGCTGGGCTCCGTAAGGTAAGAGAAGGGCCAAATCTCCCTCCATCTGGGCTGACACCACCCAGCTAATTCCAGTTCCGTTTGAATGCATCCCTCCAGCAGCAGCCAGCCCACAGCACCGCGTAGGCAGCGAGAGATTCAAAGCGGTGCTGGTGTGAAGTGACACATTTCCAAAAGATAAAGAGGATCTGAATGAGAAAGGCTCTGTTACAGGTGATCTGGAAGGAACACTGGGGGAATTCATGTCTCACGGGAGGGTTTCTATGTAGATAACAAAGCTTTGATGGGGTTTATGACTAGGGACAAGCTTGAGTAATTGTTACCATGGCAGTGAATCGGGAGGATGGGAGGCAGAGGTCATCTGAGTCATCCGTGGAGAGAATAGCTTATCAAAAGATAGCGCAGGGTGGGCTGAGGGAGAGAGGAGAGGAGAAAAGAGGCTGACAAAGAGGTGAGATATACAGCTGTGAAAACTGACAGCTACGCAGAGACAGGCTGCTTGTTCCCCAGCCGAAAACGATCCATCTGCAGCTGTCAGCCCCGACAATTCGATCGGAGGGGGTCACACAAGCGCACAAGGACCAGCTCGGCAAAGAAAGAGGCAGTCCCAGGTTTGCGATGGGCTTCGCTGCCTCCCCTGCGCTCCCAAGCCTGGCCCCGCTCCAGGGAAAAGCCCGTCGTGGATCTGGTTCGCAGCCATTTGGGTTCCCTCCGACGGCCTCACTTTGTACCGCTGCCGCAGACGGCGTAAGCCCGCCGAACAAAAGAGGAGGAGGAAACGGGGAGTCGAGGAAAGGTCAGAGTCTTGAAAAGGAAGAATTTACAGCGAGTTAGAAAACAGGCACAAAGTGACTGGCTGGCATCTTCTGGAAGGCACTTCCCCAGGGACAGGAAAGGCCAGCTCCGCCGCGCTCCTTCGCCTGGGACAGACACCGGGCGATGTGTGAATCGGGCCGTACAATGGGGGCCGCCACAATTCAGGGGCTCTAACCGCTCCCGTACAAGGGGCTGTGAATGAGCTCACCGAGCTGCTTCTGCGCCAAGCAGCCATGACAACATATTGGCAAGGTCACAAGTAGCACTTGTAATTGGGAATGTGTAAAAGGTTCATTGTCTCCCCAGAAGAGCGCCGGGGAAGGGGAGGGGGCAGAACCGCAGGCTGCTTTTCCCATTTCCTTTGGGAAAGTCCACACTGGGAAAATAATGAGCAAGAGGCCCACGCCGTGACAAGTCCCGACCTGCCAAGTTGGAGCCTCGCTTGCTTCGGGCAGGGATATTTGGTAGTCAGAGCCAAGCAACTGGGGTAGAATCCTCAGCCGACGAATTACAACCAAGGTGATCACCTTTGGCTTCTGAACCCCGCTCCACCAATTTTTCAGGATGCCATCAGGGCACATAACCGAATCCATGCGCGTTCACGCTCTGAAACATTCCATGATCCAAGCGAAAACACTGTATTATTGCCAACCAACCTGTTAAACCCATCATTTAGGTATGTCAGCCACCTGAAAAAAAAAAAGCCAATTTTTGACAAACATATTGCACCCCCTTGGGGACAAGAAGCAACCAAGACCGCTGAACGCCCGCAGCCTGGCGGTGCCGTGTCTCAGCAGCATGCTGCCTTGCCGACAGTCAGCTGCACGCGCTCTGCCTCGTGCTCCAGCAGGACGACGGGGCGGAATCACACCCCTGCAAGCAGCTGCGCTTGCCTCCTCAGAAGAAATTTCCATTTTTCAGCTCATGGGAGACAAGTGATAGCTTCACAAGAGTCACTAACTCACTCATTTGCAAGAGGATGATCACAACCTTGGATCCTCCTCTACCAGAGCTCTGCAGATGGATGCTCACCGTAAAGAGAGACTGGACACTGTCTAAACCAGCATGCCTGTTCCCAGCCCTGCATCGTGCCACCACAGGCTCTGCACACGGCCAGCAACGGTAAACCAGGTCATTTGGCTGAACCAGCTAAACTATCTGCTGGGGAAGGAGGCAGGAGGGTGTCAGTCATCCGATCCAATTCAAAAAGGAGAAGTGGGAGGGGGGAGAGGGAGGGAAGAGAGGAAGGTCTATTGAAGTAGCTATTCTTGCCAAAGAAATACACAAATCTGGGCCCAAAAGGCTTTACTTAATAATTGCTAAGCTAACGGCCAGCGGGAAATTCGCTATATTTTAAGGAACAACCAGAAAGCTTGCTTACATCCAGTGTTTTTATAAACTCGCCGACCTCATAAACTTCCGGGCCCCTTCCCGCCGCCATACGAAATGAGAGCGACTACAATCCGTTCACGTGCAGCCTGCGCAAGCCATGCAGAAAAATGGGAAACAAAGGGTGCTGGCAGTCAAGAGGGACCTGCAACGTGCACTCCGAGCAGCCCCGCAGTGACCTCCTCGTTACTGCTAGCGACAGGGATCTGGGGCGGCGTGGAAAAAAAAAAAAAAGGAAAGGATCTGACAGCGGGGTGCCCAGAAGAGCATGGCACGCGGGTCAGCGTGGGCTCAGCACTGTCCCTGCTGAGCGCAGCAGGTTCTGCAAGCCCTGCTAGAAGGTGACGGTGTTACCTGAAATCCCCTGGGGTCTGAAAACAAACCCACGCCCAAGCTACGCTGTGTTGCAGCTGATAAAACCTTACTGGACCTGAGCTGCGACACAGATACGCAACCCAAAGCCAGCCACGCTGTCTGTAGAGCAGGTAATTGTGAGATGGAGTCAAGAACATCAGGGCAAACGCTGCAGCTTGTCTTACCTCCTGCTCCAGTTCTTTGCCTAGGGCCAGGTAATTGCTTTTCAAAATGATGTACTCATCCGCCAGCTCCTTCCGACTGGTCTCCAGAGCGTGCAGGCGTTCCCGTAAGGCATCCCGCTCCCTGGTGACTTTCTCACTGCGGAGCTCCAGCTCCAGCACACGGTTCTCCAGGGCCAGTATCTGCAGAGGGGAGGCAGCAGAATTAGACTGTGGCAGGGACCGGCAGCAATCACAGGACATTTATTTGGCCAAACAGGTTCTGGCACACTAAGACTCTGAAAGGGGGTTGTGGCGAGGCGGGGGTTGGTCTCTTCTCCCAAGTAACCAGAGATAGGATGAGAGGAAATGGCCTCAAGTTGTGCCAGGGAGGTTTAGATTGGATATTAGGAAAAATTCCTTTACGCAGAGAGTGGTCGAGCATTGCAACAAGCTGCCCAGGGAGGTGGTGGAGTCACCATCACTGGAGGTGTTCAAAAAACGTGTGGACGTGGCACTTGAGGACATGGTTTAGTGGGCATGGGGGTGTTGGGCTGATGGTTGGACCTGATGATCCTGAAGGCCTTTTCCAACCTTAATGATTCTGTGATTCATGGCAATCTGGGGCATCGGGGGGCGGAATTCATTGCTTTAGCTAAAGCCAAGAGAATACGCCAAGTAGAGCAAAGATGGAATGATGCGTAACAAACTGCAGTTCCGGATAAAGGTATTGGCTAGTTCAAACTTTTGGATACCATATTTTTCAGTTCAAAGTTCTCTGTCTCATACTGCTCCTTCATTTTGTTTGTCTCAATCTGGAGATCAACGAGGTCTTTGGAAATCTGGGAGAGAGAAAGGACATTAGAAAGGCCATGGACTAATTCTGAGGCCAACATACTGTCTCAGCAGACCGCACTGGGGCATGTGAGCACAACACACACACTCCTAGTAAAAGGCCTCAACATTCCCCACCAGATTTTCCACTGCAGATCTACTCACGCGGCTTCACGGCTTAGTTCTCTCCAACTCCTAAAGTATTTGCTTTACCTTCAGCTTCTCCTCTTCACTGAGGACCATTCTGGCTGACAGATCTGTTTTGGAGCCGGCCAACTTCTCCATCCTCTCCTGCAGGTCTCCGAGCCCATACAGCCTCTCATTCCTATCCTGCAGCTGCACCTAGAGACACACAACAGCTCCAACAGCTGGTGCCAGCCAGCAGAGCCGCCTCTCCCCCATGCTGTGCTCCCACCGCAGCGCTGGTGGAGGAGCATAGCCGGCTTTTCAGAGCTTGAGTAGGTCGTAGATGGGTTTTTCAGCTGCCATTCCCCTCCTGCAATTAGGATTTCATTCGCGGAGCGCTGGTTCCATGACCTGGAAAGGGGCTGCAGACCTTCATACTTATATTTTCGCTAGCAAGATGCTGCATGTGCACTCTCAGAGTACTCACGTTCTTGTTCTCTGCAACGCTTCCAAAATCCATGTGCTTGGAGGCTCAGTGCTTGAAGGCCAGGACCTTTGCACTGTATCAGACTGCGGAGCAAAGGAAGTAGCTAAGGATCGCTACAGCAGGAACTTTTACTCTGGAGGCAGGGCACGAGCAATGTTGCTAACAACTTTGGTTACTAGCGGGTGCAGCATTCACCTTGAATTGAAAAGGTGGAGCCAGTTATTACAGCCACCCCAGGAAAAAACAACTGACACTTGTCAGGAGGTTTCCATATTCCTAAGACAGTGCACAGCAGATACTGAAACAAGAAGCTTAGCAGACACTCCTGGTGAAGCAATATTGGCAGCTAGGAGGCACCAGTCTGCCTGTATTACGGACTGTTCCCAAAACCCAGCCGTGGGAGTGGCCTCCATCTCTATTGCAGGGATCTTTAGAGAATTTAAGATCTGATTAACTCATTAATTAATCCATTAATCCAACCATCTGCTCCAAGACTCTCCAGTAATGTCAACTTGCTTCCAGGCAGTTTTCTCTTGATCTCTACAGCCCTTATACCTCCTGTGTCACTGAGCCATCCCAAGGGTACCAGGATCTTTGAGCTCTGACCAAGCTACCACTGGTGTCAGGAAAGATCTTCCCCACTTTATCACTTCATATCAGAGATGCTGTGTGGAAAAACATAAGTTTTAAAGCAAAACCCACAACGAAACAAACCCTGATGAGCCCAGACGGTGCTAAGTCTGGATTGCACTGGTCTACAGGCTGCCGCTGACTCCAAACGGTGACCATCCAGGCCTGGAAGGCACAACTCCCAGGTGAGTGCAAAGCTAAAAGTACTTGAACAGAGTCTCTGATGTAAGAGCGAGGGTATCGGGGAGTGTAAGGCATGGTAGAGAACGCTGGAAGATCTTGGTGAATGGCAGCCATGGGGTAAAAAGAATGCCAGTTCTTAATCTCCTCATTTCGGACTTCTTAGCACTGCTATTTCTGTAGAGTGGGTGAGTTCAGGTAAGAACTTGTCTCGTACAGGAGAAAAGCTTTCACAATATAACGGTCAAAAAGACCGTAGCTCTGAATAACTTCTCGGTGTCTGTCAAAGCGAAGAGGATGCAAGGGGGAGAGAGGCCATCCTGATAGAAGCTCCGTGCCGAGCAGAGTTTACCAGCTCCTCACCTGATCCAGGCTGTTGCAGAAGATCCCGTAGGAAGGAGAAGCTACCGAAACATGCAATTACGTCTTATTTTTCTGCAAAAGAACTTAACAGACCTGAAGTAATTTTATTAAGGTAATGAAAGTGCTGATGAGAACTCACAGTCTCTTCACACCCACTGCCGAGCAGAACGCCAAATTCACACACCGCCCACAGCGCCGGTGGGCTCAGAAATCTCTGGAGGGTGCTTCGGCACACGAGGGAACAGAGACGCAGCTCCGTTCCCAAGGCTCTCAGCCTCGTGCGGGTCCTTGAGGACGGGCACTTGCCACCCACGCTGGCCCAGGGTCACACGCAGGCTGGCTCACGCCGCTGTCCCAGGCAGCCCGGGTGCCTGATTCAGGCGGGCAAACAGTTCACCCCAGCATGCCGGCAAAGGCGGGTGGTCCCTGAGCCACAGGGATGCCCGTTTCACCTGGCAGACGGCAATATAAGACTAATTAACGTATACAGTATTATTTATGCTCCTGCAGTGCCTGGGAGACCCTGGCAACACCACCCTTGTGGCAGGTGCCACACCAGAAACACCAGCGAACGCTTTTCCCTCGGTTTGGGAATACGAAGCAAATTTTGTCTCAGCCAACACCACGAACAGCAAAACCTGGCAGAGAGGAGCGAGGCTTTCGGGTGCCATTGCGGCCCACGATCTCCATCACTACTCCAGAGCAAAGCCAAAACAAAAAGTCTATATTTTGCTCACGCCACTAAGAGTTGAAACGCCAATTCTCTACCGGGTTTTTCTTTTCATGTTCTTGTCAAAGACACGCTAAACACAGCTGACATGGCGGCTGGGTGGCCAGCGAGCGCCGAGGGATGAAACTCTCACCCCGGACGCGGCTCTAAAGAGGTGAAGACGCTCCCCGCATCCGCAGC